AGGAGCCCCCGGTGGTGCTAAGCCCTTGTGCCAGCAGGATTGAAGGCTAACAGGTTTCAGGTTCGAATCCGGGGAGAGCACGGATGATCTCCCTCTATTAGTTCCAGCTCCCCATGCAGGGACATGAGAGAATCCTCCCACAAGGATGGTAAAACATCAAAACATTCGGGCTTCCCTGGGCAACGGCCCTGCAGATCACCAATTCTCTCACACCAGAAGCAACTTGCAGTTTCTCAAGTAGCTCCTGACACACACCAAAAGAACCTGTTTGTGCCAACTTATTTATTATTTATTTATTTACAGCATTTATATTCTGCCCTTCTCACCCTGCAGGGGACTCAGGGGGGATCACAATGCACATATACATGGCAAACATTCAATGCCATAGACACACAACATATAGACAGAGACACAGAGGCAATTTAACCTTCCAACTTTCATGAGGGTATGCTTTTTGAATTCTGGCCACCAGGGGAGGTGTCGCTTCACCATCCACTTGTGACACAGATGGAATACTTCCTCATTCTTTTTGCACGCTGCTGGAGAGTTTTATGGCATTATAAATTAGTTAAATTAGTCCCTTGACCACATCATGAGAAGACAGGAAAGCTTAGAGAAGACAATGATGCTTGGGAACATGGAAGAAAAAAGGAAGAGGGGTCGACCAAGGACAAGATGGATGGATGGATGGTATTCTTGAAGTGACTGGCTTGCGCTGAGGGTGGTGACAGTCAGCAGGGAGCTCTAGCATGGGCTGGTCCATGAGGTCACGAAGAGTCGGAAGTGACTGAACAAATAAACAATAAAATTTCCTACTTGACAGATGCAGCTGGCACAACTTTCGAGCTGCAAAGGTCAGCAGCAAGCTAGACAAATGGCCAGAAGCTCACTCCGATCCGGGCTGGCTTCGAACTCATGACCTCTCTGTCAGTAGTGATTTTAATGCAGCTGACTCCCAACCAGCTGCGTCACAACCTGGAACTTGCTGGATAGCTAACTGGTTACAGTTCTCCTGGGATCACAGAGTTGGAAGGAACCCAGGGTCATCAAATTTGACCCACTGCTAGGACAGAAATGTACAGTTGAAGCACCCTTGAAAGGTGTCCATCTAACTTCTGCAAAGAAACCTCATTTGTACACATTGACCATACACCTGTGTGTGCATCCATTGAAACAGATGTAAGTGAACAGTAAATATGAGGACCTGCATTAGAAATGCACTAATTAGAGGGCCCTCCAGATGTTTGAACTCCAGTTCCCAGAAGCTACAGTTTTACAGCCAATGGAAACAGATTGTGGGTCCAAAGCTTTTAGAGAGCCATCCCTATTGTAGAAAAAAACCCGTCATGGCTGCAGCAACCCTTCATGCTGTTTGATTAGGTGTTTCTGAGTTCTTATGCAGACAAAGCTGTAAAATTAGCTGTTAATGCGAACATTCAGCTCTGTGCTTTTGTGACACAGATAACTAGGGGGCCTCAAGGAAGTGCTCACAGTAGACATGTTGACATAATGCGCTGTTTGCTTTGTGGTGCTTAAATGAAGAGATGTGAATATAACCTAATACTTGAATGACTGCACTGTTGGCTACCCAATAGGCCAGTTCAATTGTCACCATAAGCTTAGCAAACAAAGGGGGAAAATGCCCTGCTTTTAGGATGCTCCGGATTAAAGTACCAAGCATAAGCCTTTTCTTTGACAATTTACAGATCCTGTTCTCTCAGCGTGAAGCTTGGCTGCTTCTCAGAATATTACAGTCAGACATAGTTGCATATGTACTTTATCTGTGGTATAATTTTCCCCTTGTATTTTCCGACAGGATTACTAAAAAAATTACTGAGATTGGATGTTTTTGTAATTATGTTTCACACGGAAAATATTTTTCTCCAGTGGTTCTCAGCATGTGTGGCAGCATATATATTTTAACCTCCTAACAGTATAACAATTTCATATAAAATAGTTGAGAATGCTGACTAGCTTTTAAAAGTCTAGCAGACACAAATCACCATTTCTCAGTGTTTTCTTTGAGACCATTGAGACCACATATGGATCCAAAGGTGCCATTTTCATTATTGAAGGTTTTTTTTAATTCAGGCATACCTATATATCAGAAAGCGGTTTTTAGCCTTCCCTTTCTTACCCTACAAATGCCTCATCTCATCTCAGCTGGAAGCTAAACTGGGTTGAGCCTCATTAATACTGAGAGGGCAGTTGTTGCTAAGTGTCTTCAAGTCATTTTTGACTTTTGACAACTCTAACGTGACCCTATCATGGGTCAGTTGGCAGAATTTGTTCAAAGTGGGCTTGCCCTTGCCTTGAGGCTGAGTGTGACTTGTCCAAGGTCACCCACTGGGTTTCCATGGCCGATTGGGGATTTGTTGAACAGGAAACTATTCAAACCACTATGTCACCATGGCTTTCACTTGGAGGGCAGGCAACCAGAAATTTTTGGGTGATGTATTGACAAGTTCCCATAGCTTAAAAATAGAAAACAAGTTGGAAAGCTATTCTAACTGACAACAACAACAACAACAACTTTGTTTTTGTACCTCGCCTCCATCTCCCCAAAGGGACTTGAGGTGGCTTACATATGACACAAGGCGCTTTCCATTCATATATGACACTACTGTGTTCATCAACGATAGAGAGATCAAAAGTCCTTCCCACACAGAAGTGGGAATTGTACAGCCAATTGGTCTCCTGTGACAACCTAAGGTCCCAGGGTAACTAACTTTGCTCATTTAATCTTCTCATGGCCAAATGAAATGTTTAAAAAGTTTTATCTCTTCTGCATACTATTATGAGAGTTGAGGACAGTGTATCAAATGAGATTGTAGTTGATCTCATCTTCAGATCACAAAGTTGTGCCACTATATGTGCCAGGGAGCCAATCAATGGGCTTATTTGGGTTGAGAAACAGAGCTGCACCCAGACATCATCCATCCTGCATATTTCCTTGTGCCATGTCCTAAGGGCATAACCCCTTGCTATACCAACGCAAGTCATCAAGATGATTATTTCAAGTGTCTACAATTGTATGCACATTAAGATGGGAATGGAACCCATATTCAGATAATTATGTAGATGGCAAAGTTGCGTGGTTGCAATTCTAGGCATATGTATATGGACAACATTCTCACTGAAATCAACTTCTGAAAAATCATACATGTCAAAACAGGATTATGCAATAAAGTGAGAGCTGATTGCCCAGTTAGTTGGCTTAAATCTCATGGAGTTCAATTGGACTTGAGCATTGAACAACCAATATTTTTAATCCTTTGCACATTTGCACAAAAGTTCCTGGTGGTGCAGTGGGTTAAACTGCTGAGCTGCTGAACTTGCTGACCGAAAAGTTGATGGCTCGAATCCGGGGAGCGAGGTGAGCTCCCGCTGTTACACCCAGCTTCTGCCAACCTAGCAATTTGAAAATATGCAAGTGTGAGTAGATCAATAGGTACCACTTCTGTGTGAAGGTAACATCTCTCCATTCAGTCATGCTGGCCACATGACCTTGGAGGTCTCTACGGACAACGTTGGCTCTTTGGCTTAGAAACAGAGGTGAGAACCACCCCCCAGAGTTGAACACAACTAGATTTGATGTCAGGGAAAACCTTTACCTTTACTTTAACCCAATTGAATGCAAAGAGACTTGTCTGCAGGTGAGTATGCAGAGAATCAGGCTTCACAAATACTTAATTTTTAAAATTAAGGTCATGTTGTGAATAGACTTGAGAAACATTTTAGTCATTATATTTCTCCTTTGGCTGTCCACTGACCAATTTTCTTTCCATGTGGATTAGATAACATGTCTTCAACCTGCATTTTTCTTGTTTGGCCCCTACGGGGTTTGTGTTACTCAGTTACCTGCAGATAAGTTACCTCCAACATCTATGCTTTGCCTGTATTCATTCCACAAAACTATACATAATAGGCAAGTCTCAAAGTAGGATTTGAAGTTGTAAGAGTTGTCTGACTTTTCTTTCCCTGTTATTTTCCCCCTATTGCATAGACTTCCTTTTCTTTCATTTCTCAAAAGAATGTTTTATTGAAAAAGTGACACTATATTTTCCAGTCTGCTGTCTCGGAGAGGCATAAAATCCAAGCGAGATCCATGAAATTTAAAACCAAGTCTATAGTCTGAAAATGCGAGGAGGAGGGTAGCGAGGATAGAGGGATAGGAGGAAAAAAAGAAGTGCTTCTCTTGTTATTTTACAGAAGTTTCAGAACATGTTGAAAACACACTGAAAAAAGATTAGGGATTTCAACTCCATTTCATGAAAAGAATTTTATCAGCTGGGATCTCGAAGGAAAACTCATTACAGACCCATTAAAAAGTACTGGAGCTTTATGATGAAAAATCCTTTTTTTAAATGTCCTATAGTTTTTCAACCTTGAAGAAAAATGCAGTCTGCCACTCCTTTCCCTATTGCTATTTGAGAACAGAAGACAGCATAGGAAGGACATGGTTGACTTACTTGTCCATTTTGCACACAGCAGTACATATGATATATAGTGGCTGAGCTCCTGAACTTGCTGATCGAAAGGTTGCAGGTTCAAATTTGGGGAGCGGCATGAGCTCCTGCTGTCAGCTCCATCTTCTGCTAACCTAGCAGTTTGAAAACATGCAAAAAGTGAGTAGATCAATAGGTACCACTCCGGTGGGAAGGTAATAGCGTTCCATGCAGTCATGCTGACCACATGACCTTGGAGGTGTCTATGGACAATGCCAGCTCTTTGCCTTAGAAATGGAGATGAGCACCAACCCCCAGAGTCGGACACGACTGGACTTAATGGCAGGGGAAACATTTACCTTTACCTATATATATATATGCAAACTACAGTTTAACTAGCTGTTTTGCTTAAAATCAAGACTATACATCTCTCTTTAATCAGAGCAAAACTGCAGCCTTGTCTGGTGTTTTCAAAAGTACAATTTTGTTATCCAGTAAGTATAACCGTATAGAGATTATATTTTAAATTATCTTACATTTTCTTGTTTGCAGACCACGGGAAAAGCAACCTGCGTGGAATTTCATTAGATGATGCAGACTGCCTATGGCCTAAGGAACTCATTGCTTCTGGAAACAGCCAGACATCTGTTTCAAAGGCTGGCCGCAACATTCCTCGGAGACACACGGTAGGAGGCCCTCGGAGCTCCAAAGAAATTTTAGGAATGCAGGCATCGGAAATGGACAAAAAGAGAGAGGCGTTTCTGGAACATCTAAAACAGAAATATCCGCATCATGCCACCGCCATAATGGGCCACCAGGAAAGGCTAAGGGATCAGGTAAGGAAATGTTTGATAGATTTGAGGAGCAGACATGTATCGACAATGTTAGCATGGGTCTTGTGCTGAAACTTCTTGTACATATCTGTCATGGAAGACATAGAGAATACATTAATTTGGAAGCTAGAAAATCTTTCCATTCCACTCAGACTACTAAAAACAGTGCCACCTGGTGGGCAGACCTTATTACTGCATTATCCACACAGTATTTGTTCACATGGTTAAATATTTTACTATTGTTATTGCTGTTGTTGAAGGAAGATCTTTGCATTCAAGTTTTACTGATGGTGATGATACTAAAGTCAATTCTGGATATTTGATATCAAAACTTCTTACTGAAATGTTCAATAGTGAGTTAAAATCCCTCCCAATAATTTAATCAATTAAAGATTAGTTGCTTACATGCAACCTACTGTTTATATGAATCTGTTACTGGGCAGGGCTTGGCAAACATTTTAGTAGTAGAAGTTTCAAAGAGTGATTGTGATTTGATCTAAAACAGAAATTTTTGACGAGATTGAATACTTATAATTGTATTTTCCCTCCCATCTTTTTAGCAGAGTACAGTAAAAACATCTCCATAGTTGACTCTATCAGCGTTTTGAGTTCGGAAAATATCACTTATGAAAAGTGGTACAGAGGGACAAAAAAGTGGACAACATAGTTGGAGAGCTATTTTCCAGCTAATGCAATTTAAATTGTAAACATAGAAAATGAAAATCCAGGTGCACTTGTGTTGATTAAAATGGTCACAGTGGAAATGATTATATCCATGTATTTCAAAATATCTTTTAAAAACCATTTATTAAGTTTATTATTTGGCATGTTTATATCTGGACCTTCTGTCCACTGACCTTGTGACAGTCTTCAAAATAAAAATAAAAATGAACAAAGTGCAGAATGGGAAGGAAATGTGGTACAAGATCAAAGATCAGACATTAAATATATTTATTTGCTACATTTATAACCCAGCTTTTTCTCTTTCCCACTTTCACCTCAAAACAATCATTTGAGGTCAGACTGAGTATGGGCTAGAATCTAGATCTCCCAAGCCCTTCTGTAACACTTGAACTAATGCACCATACTCTGAGTGCATTGGTGGGAAGCGTGCCAATTCATTTAAGTTGATAAGGCCTGATAAAATACAGGATGCAATCTGGAGGTGAATTCCATATTTAAATTCTATCACTAATCCAGAATTTGCAGCAACTGGAGAGATGTGCTGTGTGCACCAAGCAAGTTGTGACATCAGGGATCCATTTATAAGACACAGTTTTAATGTTATTATTCTATTTCTACAGGATAGCCATTGCGCTATCCTGTGAAATCCTGGAATTTGTAGTTTAGTTCTCTGGCTAAGAGTTCTATTTTCAGAGGGTCTATTACAGCCATGGGCACACTTCAGCCCTCCAGGGATTTTGGACTTCAACTCTCACAATTCCTAACAGCAGGCTGTTGGGAATTGTGGGAGTTGAAGTCCAAAAAACCTGGAGGATTGAAGTGTGCCCATGCCTGGTCTACAAACTGCACGTTATTTGAGAACACAGAAATGCTAGACCATTCTAACAACCACCCTGTCAGACTACACAAAGAAAGGAGCAATTGAAATCCACAAGCTTGTGGACAATTTCATCAGAAAGGAGGAAACCATGACAATAAACAAAATCTGGCTACCAGTATTTAAAAAAAAACACCCTAAAATAAGGACAGTAAATAAAGAACAACACTCAGAAAACGGAAATTCCAGACAGGAAAAAAAAGGGCCAGCTAACATCTCTCAACAAAGGATTCCCCCAGGCAGGAAGCAACTAGGCTTTGCGGCTGCAAGGCTATTCAATGCTGGCCAATTGCAACATTCACACTTGCTTCAAAGAGACAAGAATTATTTCTCCCACCCTGGATATTCCACAGATATATAAACCCCACTGGCCTAATTTCCAACAGACCTCACAACCTTTGAGGATGCCTGCCATAGATGTGGGCAAAATGTCAGGAGAGAATGCTTCTGGAACATGGCCATATAGCCCAGAAAATTCACAGCAACCCAATGATTCTGGCCACGAAAGCCTTCAACAACACATCTCTTCTTAGCCAAGCCATGTCAATGGTCATTTGGGCAACCTGAGTTATGAATCAAAATAGCTGCCCTTGCCCCCACTGTACTCTGTCTATTTGGCAGTGATGGTGGATAATACAAGAATCCACATGAATCTTGAGATGTTTCAGAATGTCACGCATGCCATAGAAAAGGTTGTACTCCTGTTGACAGACAGCCTAAACTTGAGGTGAACATGATTTTGACACATGAGAAAAGTTCAGATCCTGGGAGATTTATTACCTTCATATTATGTTTTTACAGCCATTTGATATGATGTTTACTGCCACATCTCTCTTTAATAGTCTCATAGGATTTGTAGTGTAGTAAGATACAGTAATTTAGATTCCTAGTCAGAAAACTTGCCAAACTACAAATCCTACAATAATAAAGGTGATTAAAGTGTTCCCAAGGTTCTATGAAAGTGGTAGATGGGAGAAAAGCTCTTCTGAGAACAGTTTCTCGTATTATGGTTTCCTTTTTTTGTGTCAGGAGCAACTTGAGAAACTTAAGTCACTTCTCGTGTGAGAGAATTGGTCGTCTGCAAGGACGTTGCTCAGGGGATGTCCAGATGTTGTGATGTTTTACCATCCTTGTGGGAGGCTTCTCTCATGTCCCTGCATGGGGAGCTGGAGCAGACAGAGGGAACTCATCTGCGCTCTCCCTGGATTCGAACCTCTGACCTGTCTCAGTCATCAGTCCTGCCAGCACAAGGGTTTAATCCACTGCGCCACCGGGGGCTCCCATTGCAAATAGTGATGTGATGCTATTCATGCAAGCATTGAGTAAGAATGATGTCATGTGTAATATAAGATAAAAATTTAGTGTGTGCACATCTGGAAAAATTGAGATCTGCAAATTGAAAACAAGATTTCCAAGGCATGTTATCAAGTTACACTTACCTGTTTCCTTTGGTGTTTTGCATTTGCTGGAAAAAATATGGTTGCCATGCTTGTGTCCAGTAGTTTGCTGTTCTCAAAATCTCCTTTTCATGCACACTGCTGTAAATTCCTACCTCCTACTAAAGACTTTAATTGAGGAAAGTTACATTTTGGACTGCAAGTCCAAAGATCCTCCAGGCGGCAGAGCCACTAATCCAGTGAACTAACTTTTTGAATTTCTGCTAATGGCCTCTTAAACATCAAGGTCTCTACACGCTTCCTTTGGTGCTTTATTGATTGTGCTTGTTATCTTTGCAATGAACATTAGTTTCTGTGTGGAGAATGCAGGGTGGAAGGTGAAGATAATGCACAAATTGCTTTTCTTTAAAAGAGACTCTTGTGCGATTAGATCTTTCCTGAGTCATGTAAATATTTGGTTCCAATGGTGAAGATACTTACAAGCCAAGTTTGAACAGACTACTGCAGGGACGAACACCCTATACATTTAGCAACTTGATCCTTCTGCAGCCAATAAACTACAGAAAGAATGCAGTAACTGTATTAGCTCTTTGTTTAGAAAATGTGTCATGCTTGCTAATTTATTAAGACCACAATCTTAATAAATGAGCTTGCTTTCCCAGGAGTCAGTCCTGCTGATCCTTATTGTGTATGAGCCTTCATGTATGGAGTTTAAAAAAAATAAAACCCCAACCGTCTACATTTTGTTCATAATCAGGCCTAAACTCTGTGTATAATGAGCCTGCAAACATTAAAGCAATGTAATTCCTCAAAGGGTTAGGTTGTGTTCATGGCATGTTTGTTTTGCATCATTCCTCCTCATGATCAAAGTAGAGATGTACTTACAGACAGTTTAAAAAATAGTTGTTCTGTGTGAGATTAATTTTTTTTCATGGCAACTTGTCATATAATTAGTCAAATCTGATTCTTCATCTGTCATAATAACTTGTACCAGACAGTTCCTAGTTAATTGGCTATGCATATGTGTGCGTGTCAGAGTTTGGAAGTTCAGTACAGTGTTATAAGGAAGAGTGTTACTGTAACATGTTACTTCTTGGCACAATGGCATAATTTTTGCAAAATACAATAAGACCCCATATCCGCAGGGGATATGTTCCCAACTGGACCATACTTATCTGAAACCGTGGATATGATGAAAGCCATTAAAGTACCAGAGTTCCAGTCCCAGCATGCCAGAGAGTTGCTCTTGAAGAACTAATGATTCAAATTTGCAAAGTCCTCTAGATCAACTCTATGTTTCTGGACTTTGCATGCATACATGAAACTGTGGATAATAGTGACCTGTATTATTTTAAATGGGACAGATGTTAGATGTACCAAACCAAGAGTCTAGTTCAGTGGTTCCCAACCTTTTTTTGACCAGGGACCACTTGACCAGCGACCACTCTCCAACATTAGTACCAAAAGGGTTTTTTTTTGTTGTTGTTCATTCATTCAGTAGTTTCTGACTCTTCGTGACCTCATGGACCAGCCCACGCCAGAGCTTATGAATCAGTTTTTGGTTATTTGGGGTGCTGATTCAGAAAATTGCATTGGATAGACCACATCAGCTCTAGTTTCTGATACAGAACATATGCCATCCAGTAGTCGCCATCTGCTTGCCCACAAAAAAACATATTTCATAAATCTCGGCACTGTAAGAGGGTTTCATGAGACCAGTTGCTCTTGTTGCAACGGTGTGGCAATGGTGAGGCCGCTGACCATATTTTAGTTATTGTGGACCACTGGTGGTCCCTGGACTACAGGTTGGGAACCACTGGTCTAGTTTGTACAGGAGGTCTTAACTTAGGGGTGTTCAACCCTTTTGCAAAGAGGACCAGATTTGGTGGAGTGAAAATGGGTGAGGGCCAACCTTTAAGCCTGTCATTTCTTAAACTATTAATATTAAATGCAAAAGAACTATTTTATGAATTTTTATTGCAAATGGCATACTTTGCCGTTCTTCACACAGACCACAAATAAATCTAAATATTGTAAGTCTCTTT